AGGGTGGGTGGGGGGGGGGGGGGGGAAATCCAACCCTATAAATATTAGTCTGTATCTGATTTCTCATCTATATTCAAGGAGAAGCTTAGGTTTTTTAACCCTCAATCATTGTCCGCTAAATTTTAATTGCAGCCGTGCAGAACTTTCCCTATCAATATTTGTACAGATTTATATCAGCAATACAATCTACCCACCTCTCCCTAGAAATCCCTCAAACAAGCAGTTCCTCTTCTTCTTGTTAGCTCTTTTTTAGTATATTCTCTCTTTGCTGTTTTAAAAGGAGATTAAAAGATCTGTTTTCTGCATGTGCCTAACTTTTGCTCTGGTCAAAGCAAAATCCATAATTTTGGCCCCGAAACCTAACTTCAATGTATACATGGTGTTGATTTATACAGGAGTATATACAATAAACGAAAAGATCCCATTACTGCCAGAGTGCCGATAGCTAGCTACATTTTCAGTCTGGAGTTTCTACGTGTTAAAATTTAGCCCTACGTAATGTAAGAAGGTGGGGGGAGGGGGGGGGAATCAGCCTCTGGCAATAAAAAAGTGAACTTTGCAAAATTTTGGCTGAACATCAAATGAATCATTTCAGCATTACAAAAACATCAATAATTCAAGATACTCAACCATCTCATCAGAAAACAACAAATATACACAACGATTTTCCTATGTATCTACTAATAACACTTTACCAAAAAAAAAAAACCCCCAATATTTGGGCTCATTAACAAACTCACAGAATACCTAGGAATGCTTCAGGAAGAACACTCATAGTTAAATGAGCACAACCTATAAAAATATGACATTACCTCTTTAACAAGATATGACAATACGGATTCGGTCTCATTCAGAAGTGCAACACTGCATTTCCCCCTACAAAAAAAAGCATAAACAAGAATTAAATAGCTGTAACTATCAATATTTTTTTACAAACAGAAAGGAAAATACAACAACCAGATAAACACAGAATGTAGCTAAATCTTGGTCACAAGAGTCGTGTTGGGTAAGTCAACCACTGTGTTCCCACAAGGTTTTCCAGATACTTACAGGAATCTCTTGTGCAAAATGCAAGTGAAGCAGTATCCCTCTGCTATCTTTCCAAGTAATTGGTATTCAAAAGCAATTCTGCTTTAGAGGCAGTATGGATCCATCACGGCTAGAAGCCCTTGTTAAATTACGCCCCATACAATATGGTTTAACTTGTTTAAAGCTACCCAAATTACCACTCATCTTGTGATATTTTCTCCACACCATACATACTTTTATACTTTTTATCATATCAAGTCTTGCTCATTTATTCCTGATGTTTAAAAAAGCATCAGCTACAAATTTGTTTTATAGGGGAGTTGCTCCAGCCTTTTGGATCATTTAGGTTGACTTTTTCAGCACTTGATAAAAAGTATGGCTGTACGAGTAATAACTTAAGATGGGAGGAGAGTTAGCTAATGTGGTTTCATGCCCAATACAAATGATCTGTGGATACCACTGGTGCTATATACTTTCTAGTCAGGGAACTGATAGAAAAAACCATTTAAACAGCTCCTCAACTAGCTCAATTTTTGTGAAGAAAGAAACAGGTGTGATTTGTTCAAATACGGTCTTGGTCCAATAAGAGGGCACTAATTAATTATCTCCTGAAAAGTTACCAGTCGAAAGGGCCATATTTGGTGGACTGAGCTTAATGCATGATTTTAATAGAAGCTTAGAACCCATGGAATGCAAAGTTTCAAAACACTCTGAAATTGTTCATAGTGGTACTTTCCTGAGGGCTCAATGTACACAAACTTTGTTTCATGCACAAAGTAACTAAAATGTTGTATAAAATTAACTTTAGGCTATGTGTCTTTATATAGCAGATATGAAAACTAAATGAATTTCATGTTTACACTTGGTCCCCTCATCACAATATCCCAATGTATTCATATATTTATAAAAATCCAAAACACTTCTGCTCTCAAGCATATTGGAAAAAGATTACTCCATCAGCAATAAGATGCTGAGCCCTTTGGTAATGAACTGAAGAAAAATCTTATTAAAATGAGTTAGGTATTCTTTAATTTGTAGAACTACTAAGAAGTTCATTTGGTGATCCATGGAGTAACTGTCAAGGGGTCAGGAAGCAGAGGGAGTCTCAGAGCTGCTGACTGAAATTTTATATTATATGTTCAATATGGAATAATGTCTCAAGGAATGGAGAGAAAGACTGACAAATGTGTCATCTTTATTCTGGTAAGCCACTCTTTAAATGCCTATTTTCAAAATACACAATTGAGAAAAGTAAGCTTATCTTAACTTCCTTCCAATGACAAGCAATCAAACCTGCTGGGATGACTATTGCCTCTGTAGTAGACTTCATTTGAATAGTTAAAGATTATAAGGGAAGTGTGCAAAGCATTAAACAGAAAGGGAGAACTAGTTCTTACCCAAGAGTAACAACAAAATTTGTGCTTTCTTTCAGGACATTATCTTTCCACCTTACCAGAAACCACAAACAAAGTAATTGAATACCAGGAAAACTGCACCTGTTTGTGATGCCTGCCTCCTCAGCCAACTATCAACAGAAACCACCCATCCTATCATAACTCAGGGCTGCCAGCTGGCTAGGAAATCATTGGCACAACTGGTATATGGTCTTCTGCTGCTGGCTGAGCAAGTGAAAGCCTGTAGTGTTGTCTTCATCCAGATTTCCATCAGTTTTAAGTAGATGGATGGATGTATAAGCATGGTCCAGTCATTTTTAGAAGTAAAGCAAACTGGGAATATGTGCGCCAAAGCAAAAACTGCACCAGTGCTACTGTTTCTCACCAAGCCCTTACTTCTGGTTACCACAATGAGGCTACCTAGTTCCTCTGCTTATGTACAACTGGACTAGTCCACAGATAAGAAATTACTAGAACAAGGAAAACTAATGAAGCAGCATGCAAATGACAAGAAGGAGATCATGGGGAAAGCAACTCTAGAATTCCCCCAAACAATATGGACACTGGTCATGGTGTTTGTGTATTCTATGGAAATGAAGCCACAAGCTCCATTGAGCTATCAATCTATCTGAGCAGCTCAACTTGTTCATACCATTCAAATATTACCCGTTGTTCTGTTTGTGCTAGTAAGTCCCTACACATGCTTTTTAACCATAGTGCCAACTCATGAGCAGTTATCAGGTTCACAAAAGGAAGCAACTGCAATCAAGTTTGTGCTGAGTTTCTTTATCCTTGTGTAAAATACACATTCTCACATTTCCAAATGTATGTTTTATCTTACTTTATTATTAATCCTAAAATGCCGGAGTGTGTATCTAAATGATGTATTTTTGAGTCATCAGATATACTACAATATCTAAAGGATAACTGTAATTTGTTGATCAAGTTTGTTTGTATCGAAATTTTCAACCAATCCATTCCACAGACACCACTACTAATGTGGAAAACTTCGTATGTGCTTGGAGAAACTACTTTTTTGGACTATAGCTATCAGAATTCCCTTTCAAGCATTGTGGCTAAAGAATTTTGGGAACTGTGTAATTTTTCCAAGTTCTAATCACTCAATGAGTTGGGAATTCAATGTGAGAGACTGAATAACAAAACGGGAGAAATAATCTAGAGACTAAATAAGAAAATAAAAAAAAGTACAGTGCTACTATCTTCAAAGAAAAAAAATCAACTAAACACGTTAAATAGATTTAAAAATTCCCAACATTCTTTTAAATTTCCTTCCTCTCAAAGTACAGTGACTCTACACAATTTTAGGCTTTCTGATAACCATATTGTCACCCAGTTGATCTCATTTAACATTGATCTATTTGGATATGTGTGTTTCTCCCCAGAATATAACAGCTGGCTAACAGTTGTAGATGTGAAATCAAAGTTAACAATACTGTTAGATGAGATTTGATTTTCTTCCCCAGTTTATCCTTATGCCGTCTTTCCTTTTTATTGTCAAGGTTATGAGATTATCAAATTTAATGCAAGTTAATAAACTGTCGCAAATGAAGTGTCTCTCTTTCTATTTAAACTCTCCTTCTGTCATGTAAGCATATTCTTCTCAGAACAGGGAGAGTTCCAAAGGCTCAGTGGCTGCAATTAACTAAACAGCATTTTTTTAGTCACAGACTCATTTTTTTTAACTTTGCCCACTCACACTAAAACAAAATATATGGTTCCACATTTATTATGTTTAAATGTACCTCAAATCACATTTGTTTCCAATTTTGTTCCACTAAAAGCGTCAACTGAATTACATTTTAAACTGCCACTATATTTTTTTTTCTTTTTTGTGATTTAACTTTTATTAAGACAAAATTAAAATACAACCTACACACAAATGACATCACATAAACAACATCAGCAAGAACAACAAAAGAGTAAAAACTTTCATCCAAGACTTAATCTTGGATGAGCGGGCAGATCTGGCGTGCATTACGGAGACCTGGTTGGACGAAGCGGGAGGCGTGAATTTGACCCAGCTTTGCCCAGGTTTTTCCGTGCAGCACCAGCCGAGATCCGGAGGGCGGGGAGGCGGGGTTGCAGTGGTCCCTCTGACCAGGGGCCCCATCCCGCAGTCAACAAATTTTGAATGTGTCCACTTGAGGTTGGGTGACTGGG